GACCTATGCTGCGGTCATTTACATACATAAGGGTTTTTTTGTGAATTTCTTCAAAACATTTTATACACAAAGCCGGCTGCTTGTCGCAAAGAGGGCAAAATGTAGTAAAGCTCTTGGCTTTTTGTGCGGCTATGACCGGTGTCCACGCATTCTGCTAATTTTCTGTAACACTCTCTGCAGCGCTTGCAAACATTTCTTGCAATGCCCGGGTATCTATTTATAAAATGAAGGTTGATATCCTTTATTTGCCTTATTGGCATTTCTTCAGGTGTTAGTAATTTGTCAATAATTTTTTCTCTAAATTTCAAAATACTCATCTGTATTGAGGTTAGGACTGCAATGGAACAGTGAGCTAAAATTATTCGGATAAAAGAAACTTTATTTTACAATGGAATACAATAATAAACTCAGTCTTCATTTCACGAGATCGCACGAGTTACTACACACTCGCAGGAGGAAGAAGGCCATAGACTAAAATGTTGTCCTCCCCCTCTCCAGCCTCACGCGACTCTAAAGGCGGATTCTAAAGGCGAATTCGCCTCAAACTATCCCAATAATTTGATTACTATCCCATGTTTTATGTATGTAATACGCATTTACCATCGCTGTCCCGCAAAGTAGCTGCAATACGATCTTCCTATACCATTTTAGTGTTTTCCTTAAGCAACTAAAATGTGACGCCATTTGATCGGATAAATCTACACCCTTTTTTGCATTATTGTAATAAAAAATAAGATCTGGTTTCTTTTTTCCAGGTTTCCCTTCCATGAGAGTACATTTAATGTTAACATACAGACCCATTAGAGTACAAGTTGTTAACATACAGACAGTTCTTTTGTCTGTCCACTTAACGAATTTTATGCCTGAACTATTCTCCATTGCCAGAATTTCACCACGTTTTTGTTTTCTTTTTGCTTCTACCGGCAAAAATTTGCGATTTTGCTGCACTGTACCGCAAAAGTACGTTTGTCTCTGTAAAAGTGATTTGGCTAAAGGAATACTCGAATAATAGCTATCTGTATACAAGATTCGTTTTTCAAATAACAAGCCACTCATCAGTTTATGTACAACATCATATGAATGTCCATTCGTTAACCCTTTGCGCTCGGATTAAATTTGGAGATGGGTATCGTACTACTCGGAATTAATTTCCGTCAATAGAGCAGGGATACATAACACGCAAGTTTAGGATGTATAAACAAGATTTAGTAATTTTTTTGTGAACTTTAGATATATCTTTATTCAATACACTCATCTAGTGATATGTTTTTGTAAAAAATTATGTTTTATAATTCTCCTTTGTGTGATATTTTTCAAAACACTCTCCAACATGTAGGCCAGGTTTTCGAGTGCATGTATCGCAAAAATAATTGGTTTGGTGCCTTCCACCCTTAATCTTTCTGTTTGAACATACAGTGCAATCTTTACTTTTTACATTTTGGCAATGCCGCAATATATGCAGTTTTCCATTCAGTCTGTCATTCTTATCGGAGGTCGATGGTCTTCCTGGTTTTGAATCTGCTCCGTCACGAAAATCACCTACCAGTTGTGCCACCAATTTTCGGACGAACATAAAATGTGGCATAGGTTTTCTGCTCTCCCTTCTAGCTGACATCTTATATAAAATATAACTATTTATTACAGAAATCTCTAATCCTCAGAAAAAAAGTTTTCGCCACCACTTGCACGATTTTCTCATAAAGCAGTACGAAGTTGCTAATTGGTCAGCCTTATCCACACCTCCCATGTTCTTATTATAATTTATAACCACGTTTGGTTTGATAATGTTGATGGTCCCAGCTTGTTTCTTCCTTCTTTCTACAATTGTCGTACCCGATGTGTCGTAACTGCTTAGTATGGTTACTATTCTTTTATCTCTCCACGCTAATAGTAGAATATCGCCTGATCGGTAGGCAGCGACAGTATTATTTTTTGTTAAAGCTGGTTTTTTAATCACAGCTGCTACATATTTCCTGTTTATGTTAATTGTGCCAGTTAAATAACAGTTTAGTTTTAGTAGTTCCTGCGCTAATGGGATCCCTGTAAAAAATCTGTCTGTAAAGATGTGGTATCCCTTTGCCTCAGGATTTGCGGTCAACAGCGTGTGATAAAGTTGTAAGACAATTCTCGAACTGACAGGGAGGTCTGGACGGATGAGAATATCTGTAGTAACGCTTCCATAGTAGGGAAGCATGGCATATACAGTGAATATTCGATATGTGCACAAATGATCTATACGATATGTGCACCCAAGTTATCCCCACCACTGGGGGGAAGACCCCTTCAGACGCCGAGAAGCTCGATCGCCGAGAAATGTAACATGATCCAGGGTCGGGTATATCCGTGAAGCAATACATATGCAAATATAAAACTTTTTTATTTTTGATTTTTTCGAGAACCAACTTTTACCAATAGATTCTTTACATTTTTCTGATTAAAATGAGACCAAACACGACATAATTT